GCTGAACCTCTTAAAAGTATGACAGAGAGTTCCTGCGTGCTGCTCGGGGCTGGACAAACTTAGCTAAACCAAAATGGGACACTTTTCTGTAGTTCAGAACAGTTTATCTGAAAGCACCAACCTTCCTGGCTCCTGTGGGACGTGAGCCGAGTGAAGTGGGTTTGTCTGCACCTGCAGCTGTTTGGATACAGCTTGTGGTGTTTACACCTAGCTGTCCCTGAGCTTACACACAGAACAATCCCCTGCACCTTCTGCATGGTTTGAAAGGTGTATTTATTTTTCCACCTGCGCTGAGAAGCCTGTGGATGTTTCCCAGCCTTGTTTGCTCCTGTGTACAGTGATTTTCCTCTTGTTCCCCTCTGGTTTGCTCCCGCCAGCTGAGCTGAGGCAGGTGGCTGCAGGGAGGGACACAAACTGCCTGTCTTAACACCCAATCCTGCAATCGTGTCTTTAGGCCCAAGGCAACAAAGTGAGATCTCACCTGAATAACAGCAACATTCCCAAATTCCAGAATATCCAGGTTTGAAAGGTGACTGTGCTTGCTTGGAGCCTGCCGACCCCTTGGACTGGCACAACAGCCTTTGGATCAGTGTCTCACAGTGTCATTTCCAGAAAGTTACTGATGACTTGGAGCACTTGGAAAGAAAGTGGTTAAAGCTTTAATTAAAAGACAAAGTTGGTCCATCATTTAACTCAGTGTCCTTCTGCTGAGCAGAGCTAAGGCCAAAGGCTCTGCTGTCTGTCTTCTGCACTGTGACCTCTTCAGAGCTTCATCTGTTTTGCAGCTCAGATTCTGCTGGAGAAGTATTTTTTTGAAGTCAAGATACTTGAAAATTGCAAAAACCTCTGCTTTTTTTTTTCATTTGCTGAGAGCCAGCCTTAAGTAATCAGGTGGTGCTGGATGTCTAGACATTTTAAAAATAGCAGTCTTTTGGGGCTTATTGAAGTGCAGGAACTGCTTTCATTATTAATTCCTTGCTAATCTTTCAGTGATGCTGCTCAAGCCAGTGCTAAGCATGCCTGTCACTGCATGGCTGTTCAGCTGAAGCATTCTGTGGCTCCAAGAACCAGGAACTCAGTTCCTCATACAGCCTGAGATCATGCAGCTCCTCACCTGCAGATGGTTTTAGCTTTGGGCTTCATGCTGGTGCTAAGAGAGGGCACGTAACCCTCTGGTCCGTGTGACACAACCTGACAAACACCAGAAATTATACTCTAGCAGAACTAAAAGCCTTTGGTATAACTAAACAATCTGCAAGTTCAGCTTCCTCATCCTCCTCAGGTACACCTCAATGCTTGGAGTTCTGTCTGGGGCATCTCCTCCCCCAGAGCTGAGCTCACCTGCCCTGACCTCAGAAGAAAAGATGCCATTTGGGATTTCCTTGGCTGTACTCACTCTGGGCTGTGCCTGAGGCTCTGTCCCTCTTAGACTCCCTCTCCCCAGCATTCCTGTGGGAGAGGAGGCTGCCTCTGACCCTTTTATGTTGTTTAGTTAATGTGGGGTAATGCAGCTGAAACATTCCACTGTGGTTATCCAGTGGAAGCCCAGAGGAGGCTGCAAAGATGATCTGAGGGCTGGAGCAGCTCTCCTGTGAGCACAGACTGAGGGAGCTGGGGGGTTCAGCCTGGAGAAGAGAAGGCTCCAGGGAGACCTTAGAGCAGCTTCCAGTGCCTGAAGGGGCTCCAGGAAAGCTGGGGAGGGGCTTGGGACAACCGGCAGGGAGGGAGAGGACAGGGGGGATGGATCAAGACTGTAAGAGGAGAGATTTAGAGTGGACATGAGGAGGAAATTCTGGGCTGTGAGGGTGGTGAGAGCCTGGCCCAGGTTGCCCAGGGAAGCTGTGGCTG